ATATATATGTACTGTAAATATACGTTGCTGTGTTATAATCGCAGGATCGTAAGCGATCACGCCGGCTTGTAGAGGCCTTAATCCAGCAGTGGATTGACCCAGGGCTGATGGTGACGACGATATGTTTGTAAATGCACACAAGTAAGCTTTGGAGCTGATAGGTTGGCGGGCGGCGACAGAAATGTGAAGATTAAGTAGGCTTTCCTTTATATAGAACACCACAATTACCATCCCTGTTTCCCCTCAGGAAGGGCTCAATCAGACTCGAGATGAATGACCAATCAACTTTCTCGGTATGTTGTTTTTGTGTGGAAATAAACCTAGAATGCTCAGAGAAGACTTGCACAAGGCATGAGTTAACTGCAATTACAGAATACTTAGAGCCATAGCTGGAACCCCAAGTTGAGCACAAGCAAAGATTATTTTTTGCATAATGGTTTTGGTACCGTGTTTCTACAAGAAGCGAACATGATTTGAAACAATTCAGTCGCAGTTGCCAAGTAAATGTCGCGGTTCAATACACTCGAGTTTACAATTTTACTGATCTCTAACGCGGTTTAATGAAAAGGTTAAGCCCTGCAATTTATTGCTCAATATAATTAATGATTGATGCGTGGAAGTCCAACGATGTGCAGTAGATTCAACGAATCGCAGTTCAGGGTGGGCCAATTCCACTCGATCAATCGTTTTTGTTTACACTGGGCTGGATGGCTGTCCCTCTCGTGGCTGCAGGGGTGACGTGAATCGATTACACGTGGCACATCACAGGCTGAAAAATACATCGATCCGCGATTTGACGCGTGTCATTGTAAGCTTGTGCATCGACAATGAGCGAACAATTATCATCGTTTCGACTAATGACATTGCATCACCGAAGTGATAAATACAACCACAGTAAACGAATGTATGCGTTGTATTGCCAAAGTACGTGCCGACCTTCATTGGTGCTCGCTAACAGCACTTGCCCCAAAAGCCGTATAAGGCCATACGGGAGATATTTGTCTATTGCCCAAATACGGCCAAATCATGGCTTGAGATTAAGGTATGTAACTTGTCGTCTTGCTATCTTCAAAAATCTCTCTCGTAATTACGATGGAAATTATACGGGACTTGGTGCACGGATGCCAAAGGTAATGCATTCGAGGTTACGTTAGGGGCAGAATTTAACTCCGTCGTAGACACGTGGTATTTACACACGAGCTACAAATATCATCATCATCGGCCATGGACAACCAACTGATGTATGAAGGTCTCCCAAAGCCTCCACCGCGTCTTAAAATCCCCGCGATGTAATCATCTACCCCCCACCCCCCCACCTGCGTACAAACTGATTTTTGTTGCTGCATGAATGTATCTACTGCTTCCATCACCTGCTTTATGCACAATTGATCAACATGCGTCACACAGCCCATAACATTGTGGCATCCGGTGGCGTGAGACAACGCTGCTGATGACATTCAGTTATGTCGAAACCTTGTCGAAGGTTTCCCTGAGCAATGAGGTAAATCCAACCATTTAAAACTCTGGATGTCAAAGTTTTGAATGACAGTTGCTCGGTATGGATGTGCAACACCAACAATAATAACTATAATGACACGACGATAACAATGATGATGGTGATGATGGTGACAATGGTGGACGACAACAAAGAATGTGGTGATGATGATGATGTTTCTGACGACAGTGATGGATGACCATAACGATGCTCGTCTGACACCAGTCACTGACGCTGCCACCGCGATCAATGGCGACGTTGACGACGATAACGATGGCCGCTAATCGATGTAGCCACTTTTCACTCCGTCTCTGTGCTAACCCTTGTTTTATAATGAGAATAGGGGTTTTTCCCTTTTTTTCTGGCAACAAAACAGGTGTTCAGATGTTAAAACAACAAACTGAAACATTTTACAAGGAATCATGTCTGCATTAACCACAATACTTGTGGTCAGAATGCAAACAAAAAACACACTGATAATATATGCATTGTCCTTGAAACTGATTGGTCCACACCAGAGACAGCTTTCTTTTGAGACTCGTCTCAAACGGTGTTAGACCAGAGGACGCCAAAAGGCGTACAGCCCAAAGACAATGCACTATCAGAGTAATGAGAGCTCTGGGTGAGCAGTGACAAAATGCATATATTATCAGTTTTTTTGTTTGCATTCTGACCACAAGTATTGTGGTTAATGCAGACATGATTCCTTGTAAAAGGTTTCAGTTTGGTGTTTTAACATCTCAACACCTACTCTTTGGGTCTTTCGGTAAAGTCACGTGGATAGAAAGCTTGAAGTCAAAATCTCAACACCTGTTTTGTTGCCAGAAAAAAGGGGAAAACCTATTCTCATATTTTGGTACTGGCAAAGGAGGTCCCATGATGTAACTTGTTTTATAATGCCCGCCCTTTAAACCAGAAAAAAAATGCCTTTACGGAGTCTCAGCAGGGTCCTGCAATTATTTTGGCCAATTCTGTCCGCGAGTGTTTGGCTGTGCGGAATGAAACCCCAGCACGGATACCCGAATGAAAACAAACGCATTGGAGGGGGTAGCTCTCAGCGCTCCGTACAGACGGATTTAACGATTCACCGCTGTACGGCCACATCCTCACCGTCTTTGCAGTCACTGCTGCAGAGATGGCCAAACCCCGACGATGCAGTGGGCACCTATAAGTCAACGACCAATTCAGAAGACATGTATTGTAATCTACTGCTGGATATGAGCCTCACCATGCTGTATGGGTTATTGGGGTTATATGACCAAACTTCACCATTCTGGTCAGTACGGGTTAGTGAAGGCAGGGTTCACAGATGTGAGAGTATGCAGCAAAGTACAGCAATTGCACTGGCCTCTTCCACCCAACACGTCACTCAGCTTACAACAGCCTGCTGTGCATGGAGGTCTCCCCCATCCCAGCGCTATCCAGGCTAAACGCTGCTTAGCTTCTGAGAGCTTAAGGGGGATTGGCCCCATCCTGGGGAGATTTGTTGATAGGCGCTGAAGACAAGCGGGACTGGGAATCCACTTGGAAGAATACAGTACCGCAGGAGCAGGACCTTGGAGGACACATTGTAGATTGGTCCAACAGCCCTGAGATGAACACAAAAGTGATGATGATGGTTATATATGAATATACACCTTTAATGATGAAGGCAATTAGGAGAATTTGTGAAGATGATTATAATTATGGCGGCGACGACGATGATGATGATGATGTAGTCGATAACAATGGGTGAGGATGACTGATGTCAGAGACAACAATGGACAAGGATGTATGAAAATGATAATGGAAAAAAAAGATGTACTGTATGTTGAACTTATTTTGCACTGTACATAGCCAACCGTGCTAATGAATGATGACATTTAGCGCTCTTTTTTTGCATGGTGTTACAATATCCGTGGCAAGAGTCAATCACAAACAACAGGTACAATGGACAACAGGAAGATCCACAGACCTCTCTGTTATCCATTTTCACGAGGATAGCAGGAGTGGCACACGCAAAAAAAATCCATCCTCTTTGCAAAATCGCAGAAAATAGGTAATAATCATCATCTGATAATATATGCATTGTCTTTGAAACTGTTTGCGTGTTCACCACAAGTACGTGTGGTTAATGCAGACTTGGTTCCTTGCAAAAGGTTTCCATTTGGTGTTTGAACATCTTAACACCTGTTTTATTGCCAGAAATGGTAAAACCTATTGTTATTTTTCATACTTTGATACTGACAAAAAGGTCCCACGATAATAATAATCATCGTCAGCCATTGTCTGTCCACTGGTGGATTGAGGCCTCTCTGCATGAGTCACCATTCCTCACCGCCCAGTACTGCTGCCATCCATCTCACTCCCGCACACGAAGCAATCCCACCGCTCCGTCTCCAAGGCGATGACATCTCTTGGACACGTTCTCATCCTTTGGCTGCCATCCCATCGCCGGTTCCTTCCGTAGACCGTCATCCAATCAAGAGGTGTGCCCAGACCCCTGTCAATTAATAATAGTAATGGCGCAGGTAAATCGGCCACGGATAGGAAATGGCATAGTGATATCTCCTACCGCATATATAAATATCCCATCTCTGCATTGGCTTATCTGTGACAGGTCTCCGAACTTTTGTCACTGATGCTGTCTTGCAGAATTGTCAGTGTGCACGACATCCAGTGGCCTCTCAAACCAAAATCCAGCAGCCTTTGACCCTTGATAACGAAACGCCGAGTATTACCCCACCTGTTCACGTCTGCCAATGTTTACCCTTCAATCACGTGCTGACCCATCAGGCTAGCAAATATTAAGATTATAGAATATCGACAGTTTTTTACATATCGGTTAGCGTTTCAAAATCCTTCCATTATTTTTGTAAAATGCCTTATCTGAGACGAAATTATGTTTTTAAATGGAAATTCTGACTTTTTTTGTGATGATGCTACATGTGTTCAATGAAGATGGGCCTCCCACCACAAGAATGTGGAATGTCCGCTACTAACTGAGGACCACCAACAGAGACATTTACCCCTCCATGCTAGTTTGAGCATTAACACACTTTGACTTTTACAATTCTCGTTTCGGTATTTTTTAATACGCAGCCATAGTTGTGTTGGTGGAATAACAGGACTCCCAGGGCCAACATCGTTCCACCATCCTCACGATCGCCATGGCAATCATCTTTATTAATGGGGTTCATATAACGTGCACCTTTTGGCGAGGTTGCACTGTGATGTGGGCGGTCAACATTGGCAATTGTTGTTGAGTGCAAATTATTTATAAGTCTCCTTTAAGTATGGCACTATGGAAAAGCAACAGTTTTGATACGTGTCATAGTTGAATGCTACGTTCGTTTCAACCAATCCAAGGGGGCAGTCGACGATATATGGATCACAGCAGCAGCAGCACTGCTGCTGTGATCCATACAGCGTCTAAAAAAGAAACAAGTTAAACCAGAGCAATCTAATGCAATGTTCAAAGTTTTTTAAGAAACACACAGTAATAACGCTGAAATCATCTCTAACCTGCAGGGCACCGCCATAGGAATGTGGAATGTTCCACTCCAGATACATGAAACAACGATGAGAGGCGATGAACATCTCCAGGACTCGCTTAAACATGGGAGCCATTTCCATTTAATCGTTAAAGTGCAAAGTTTGGAAATCACATAATGCATGCCATGCTGTTCCTAATTTAAGAAAATTACTTCTGTAGATGTGTGGCGATACATATTTAAACATGTATAAACAAGAGTGTGGATCTTGACAATGTCAGTGGGTAGAGCAGCGCAGGGACTCCAATAACAAGATCGTCAGTTGTGATTCTGGCCAGGGTTGACTCATCATCATCATCCCTCCTCTGGATTGAGTCATTTGAGCACCAACCGGTGAGTGCATAGCACTTGATGCAGGGTCCCTAACAGTGGTGGACATTATTCTTAAGCGTAGAACGGGAACATGTCATTTTCTCAAATGTAATAGCCTATGTTATCGACTTATGTTTAGCGGTTTAAAATTATACGAACTCTTACTCGGGCTGCCAGTCTCCAGAAACGTTTTAAGCGGAAGTGCTGCTCTTAGCAATGTTTGTCTTATCCCAATTTCCCTCGTGAAATATATTTGCACGCAACGGGAAACCAAAAGTGGCCCTTGTATTCCTCACTCTTCACACGTGCATCTCACATGTGTGCGTTTGTGTACGCGCACGCATGCACTCCGAGTTGTCGTTTGCATTATTTTCCAACAACTTTCATTCAAATAAAAAGCCGTAAGGTTAGCGAGTGCGAGCGGGTGCCTTTGTGACGAAAGCTGCTCACCCAACGTGCATTCGCACCCTAAACTGCCCGGCGCAGGTCCGGCGCAAACTTCACGCGCGCGAGACGTTGTCGGCTTGAGTTTCGCTTCGGGAATAATTTTCATCCTTAGGATAGTTTGATCTGGTTTGTTTGCTTCCCCTTCGAGAAGGGAAGTCAGCCGACCAAACTTGGTCACATTAACGGCTCCCTGATGCGTTTTCAGATCGTACCGCGTGTTCTTAGGCGTGGTGACCGACGCTGTTGCTCCACGCTCCGGGAGCTTCCATCAGGAACTGAACAACCCTGAAAACGCATTGGAGAGCTGTGCCTATACAGCACAACGGCAAAGAAAACTATGCAGTTGTACAGCCAGACTTATTATAGTCCGAGGCCAGTGTTACTTCTTCTGAGGCTCTCAGCAGCGTTAAGTGTTCCGTATACAAAGTGCATCACGATGAGTCCACCAATAACAAGCGAAGGTGTGGCAATAAGATGTCCAATACAGGAAAGAAAATAACAAACGCCTCGATGAAATAGAAAATCTACTGAGAGCGGCAGCTACACTAGCCTTACCGGTAACATCAGGTCAAAGTTAGCCTACAGGCCTTCAAACGCGTAGGTTACCTTGGTGCCAGCAAGTTATTCAGTGGCTTGACGTAGGGTCGGTGCTCTTACCGGCAGACGCGATGTTGGTCACTGCTTTTAAGTGCCAGGAAGATTAGGGTTAGAGGTGGAAGATTAATAGTTAGTAGTTCCACTGCTGGCAGCAGCAGCAAATGTTTCTCATTGTTTTCTCTGACGCCAGTACAAATCCGATTCGAAGCAGCTGTTTGTTGTTTTTTTCTTCTTAATCTTCTTCTTTAAAGACGAAAAAAATGACAAAAACCACTGACAAGATGGAGAAAGGTCTCACACGTCCGTCTCGATCCGACTGCCGCCGACGTGCTTGTGCTGCTGCGCCGTCGCCACGTTGCAGTTGCTGAGCTTGAGCTCGTCCTCGACGCACGAGTCCTCGTCCGCGTGCTCGCCCGCCTCCTTGCAGTCGATCTTCTCGAACGACGAGAAGCTGCAGATGCTGCGGCGGCACAGCTCCGAGTTGACCTCGGCGGCGTTGTCGGCGTGCGTCAGTTCGTGGAAGGGCGTGCTGTGCACGTGCGAGTAGACCGTCTGGTCCTCGCCCTCCGTCTCGCGCTGGTAGAAGTAGTTGAAGTTGGACACGATGACCGGCACGGGCAGCGAGACCGTGAGCACGCCGGCGATGGCGCAGAGTGAGCCGACGATCTTGCCTCCCACCGTCTTGGGCGACATGTCGCCGTAGCCCACCGTGGTCATCGTCACAAGTGACCACCAGAACGCGTCGGGGATGCTTTGAAATTCCGTCTTCTTGCTGTCCACCTCGGCGAAGAAGACGGCGCTCGAGAAGAGGATGACGCCGATGAAGAGGAAGAAGATGAGGAGGCCCAGCTCGCGCATTGACGCGTGCAGCGTATGGCCCAGGATCTGCAGCCCCTTGGAGTGGCGCGACAGCTTGAAGATCCTGAAGACGCGCACCAGCCGGATGACCCTGAGGATGGCGAGCGACATCGTCTGCTGCCCGTTGGTGCTGCCAGTCTGCTCGGCCATCTCCGTGCCGAGCGTGATGAAGTAGGGCACGATGGCCACAATGTCGATGATGTTCATTAGGTTCTTGCCGAACTCAACCTTGCTGGGGCACGCGCAGAAGCGGACCATGAGCTCAAAGGAAAACCAAATGATGCAGATGGTCTCCATGATGAAGAAGGGGTCGGCAAAGACGTTGTGGTAGAAGTAGTGCGTTCCGTTCGTGTAGTACGACACCTTGTAGAGGTCTGCGTCATCGCGGAACTCGGGCAGCGTCTCCAGACAGAAGATGATGATGGAGATGAGGATGACGAGCACGGACACGATGGCGATGGCGCGCGCTGGACTGGAGCTCTCCGGGTACTCGAAGAGGAGCCACACCTGGCGCTGGAACTCATTTTCTGGCAGCGGCTTCTCGGGCTCCTTTACGTAGCCCTCGTCCTCACGGTAGCGCAGCATCGTCTCCTCGCCCAGGTCGTAGAAGCGCACCTCTTCCGTAAAGATGTCGTAGGGCACGCTCACGGGCCTGCGCAGCCTGCCGCCCGACTGGTAGTAGTAGAGGATGGCGTCGAAGCTCGGCCGGTTGCGGTCGAAGAAGTACTCGTTGCGCAGCGGGTCGAAGTAGCGCATCCGCTTCTGGGGGTCTCCCAGCAGCGTGTCGGGGAACTGGGCCAGCGTGCGCAGCTGCGTCTCGAAGCGCAGGCCGGACACGTTGATGACCACGCGCTCGCAGAAGTCGTGGCCGCCGGGCCGCGCCAGCTCGTACCGCTCCTGCGGGTAGCCCCCCTGCACTGCCACGGCCGCGTCATCCGAGCCGGCCTTGACGCCCACCACCGTCATGATGCAGGCGAGATGGGGAGCCGGGGGCCGTCGCCGTCAACGTGCACGCCCGCACGCGCCCCACACGCCTGCTCCGTGCCTCCTGTAGCCAGATGTGTTTGTACACGCACACACACACACACGGGTACACACAAGACAAAAATCCATCGTATAGCCTTAACAGACTGTAGGGACCAGTGCTGTTAGCGAGCACCTATGAAGGCCAGCACGGCACACCAGGGGATGGTTGGCCAGCACCACGCCCGGCCGCCTTTGTTTCCCCAGGGTCGATGTTTACCCACCGCACCAGGTACTCATTTGAGGCTGAGTCGACCTAGGGGAGGCCCAGGACCTTTTCGAATAACCGTCACCGGTGTTGGCCGTGAGCGGGAATCGAACTCGGGTCACCGGATTCGTAGCGCAGCACGCTAACCGCTACACCACCGCTCCCCACACACAGGCGGAAATAGACACACACACGAGCAAACACACACACGCACGAGTTTTATTTATTAGATGAAGCCATAATTACATGCTTTCCAATTAAGACTGAAAGCATACAACTGCGTGGGTTTTCGCGGTTGTGCTGTCTATCTCTGCAATGTGTGTTTTGGGATGCCCCACGCGTTGTTCTGCAAGATGTCCGACGTTTCGCTCCACGCGCTGGAAGCTTCCTCGGGAACCAAATATCTTTAGGAACTGAAATTCATTTCCTGAAGAAGCTCCCAGCAGCACGTGGAGCGCGACGTCAGACACCATGCCGACAACATACGGCAACAACCCGAATAAAACATTTACGCAACTATGCAGCAGCATAACAGCGAGCAAAAAAGCTTTTATGCACTTGCGCTGCCTGGCCATCCGTGGGGGCGAGGAGGAGGAGGGTGCACGATAACTGTCGAAAAAGATTATCCAATATGTAGCAAACTTTAGTAAAACGTTGTGGGGCTATTAGGGACTGACCCAATTCAAAATCGTCCAAAGTGATCAAAGCATACCTGTCAACCCCTTATCAGTGCCTACCTTATTACAGACCAATTCAGACCTCATTGGTCACCCCGTGCCCTTGTAAATCTCAACGTTCATCCTGCAAAGTCCCATCACAAGGGAGAAACACAAACAAAAAGACACCTTTTTTTTTGCCCGTATTGAAACGGCTGTACGCCGTATGTATGGACCTGGAAACTCAATTTCCCTGTACAAGAATACGGGGTAAACCGTATGGGTTGAGAGCTATGTCAAAGGGTTACGCAAAACTTGGAGATTCAAACCAGGGGTTAAAATGATCTCACTACATGCATTTGCAAAAGCGCACATGCGTTTGGCCCTGACAACCACCCGTTGTTTTCTTCCGTACTGCTCTTACGAAGCTATTAAATGCTTCTGAAGACAAACGCAGGTTCGAGAAACCGTTACATAATCCATGCATAGTCTTGGCCATCTTTTTTTCTCCCCTCCAACTTGTAATTTGATGTTTTTTATCGACTGAATATGGATGCAAATCTATTAGAATAGACAGTCAGAATTTACATTCTAATTTGCATAGTATATGTTTGTCTCCATTAACGTGAGCGTACGCATACGACGTATGGGTGAGTGTGTCGGTATAAGCAAGCGTCCACTGGAGGAATCCGATGAGCTATAAAGCTCTTCTTCATGGATGTCCAGTAGGGACGGATCAGAAAGTCACAACAGCGAACAATACAACAACACGATCGGAGTGCGAAGTAAGAAAATCACTACAAATTATATTTCAACCAGGTAAATCCCACTGAGATATTAGCTTCATTGTCAGAAGCTACGCATACACATTTGTCAATCCACTGCTGGATGAGGGCCACCTAGGGTTGTCACTTTCTTCCACAGACCAAACCCCGGCTGTATGTTTCAGTCGGCACAAAGTCTATCAAAACTTCGCTATCTACTCTCAACAAGGTCCAGCACAATACCGCCAACGGATGAGGATACAAATCATTTCCTGCCACCTGAACAATGAAGTGAATTCCCGGACTGACCGGGTCAAAACCCAGAGAGGTGGCAGCCCCGAGGGTCAACTCGGGTCTTGTGGGTTAATGTGACCATACTTCACCACGCTGGTCAGTGCAGGTTGATGACTGTGGGGGTAACATAGCCATGGGAGCACTGAAGTGTGGTACAACTATTGCTTTTGCTGAACTGACCTTCTGGTGTCCACATTTATCTTTCCATGTCTGAGCGTGTGAATGTCGGCGTATGTGGAATATATGACTGTGACTTCTGGTAGCTCCTGTGTGTGAGTGGGTAAGTGTGTGTATGTTTGTATGCGGGGAGCGGTGGTGCAGCGGTTAGCGCGCTGCGCTACGAACCCGGCAACCCGAGTGCAATTCCCGCTCATGGCCAACACCGGTGGCGATTATCTGAACCGGTTCTGGTCCTCCCCTAGGTCGACTCAGCCTCAAATGAGTACCTGGTGCGGTGTGTAAACATCGCCATTGGGGAGACAAAGGAAGCCAGGCATTTGATGCTGGCCACCCACCCCCTCGTGTGCCGTGCCGGCTTTTATAGGTGCTCGCTAACAGCACTTGCAACAACAATCTGTTACAGGCTACACGGGGGATCTTTGTCTTTGTTTGTATATATATATATATGCGAGCACTTGCCCCAACAGCCTGTTAAAGGCAATATGGGAGGTCTCTGTCTTTGGTGTTTGTGACAAAGGCCGGGCGTGGTGTTAGCCACCCACCTCTTCGTGTGCCGTGTCGGCCTTCATAGGTGCTCGATAGACAGCACTTGCCCCAAGTTTGTTAAAACGGCCACATGGGGGACCTTTGTCTTTGGGTTTTGTGTTTTTGCTGGTGTTTCTGACATTGGCGATTTACACCAAAAGCAAAAATCTGTGCCTGCACCTGCGCTGGCATAGCCCCTCCGGTATGCCGACGAAGGTTCGAGTAACTATGTGAACATCAGCAGTTCTCGGCAATGGGCTCCATGAAGACACCCGGGCGCGGTACTGACGACACAACCAGCCCCCTCTTGGACACGTGCAATGCAGTCATTTTGTTAATCCACTGCTGGATAAAGGGCTTCCCCCCCCCCTCCACCACCCACGCCACGCCATACTTCACCACGCTGGTCAATGCGGGTTGGTCGAGAGGGTGCCCACTGTGGGTGCGCTAACCGCTGTGCCACCACTCCCACCACCGTCTTGTGACGTTAAAGCCCGAATAGGCGCTCGCTAAGAGCACCTCCAATATGCTCTAAAACAATCACGTGTCAATATATGTGTATGCATACGTTTTCGTGACTGGGAATACAAAGACGGCCGGGGCATGGTGTTGGCCCACGCCACCACCCCCGTCGAGCGCTGTGTTAGTCTTAATAGGTTCTCGCCAACAGTACTTGCCCCAACAGTCTATGTTAAGGCTATACGGGGGACCTTTGTATTTGTTTTGGTCACACCGCCCGATTCAACAAGAGGAGTCAACGTGCACCGTTAGACGCTCTGCACCCGGCCTGGACCTCCCTGAGGTATACTCAGTGCCGGATTAAGCTGGTGCGGGGCCTGTAGCATTTGTTCTAAAGAGGCCATATATATATTTTTTAAACCACATCAATATTCAAAAACAAATTTTCACTTGCATAGTAAAGTAATTGTATTTTTTCATTTACTATACAGCCAGATAATACAACAAATCGCTAACCTTAAACATCCAGTCGTTCATAAAAGTTGAAGGGCAGTATAGTACTATAGTAATAGAGCAAGTGCAGAATCACTGAACCGGAATCGATAGCTTGAAAGCATTTAGCGCGGGGCCCTTGAAAGTGCGGGGCCCGTAGCATATGTAGCTACTTGTGCTACTAGGATCATCCGGCTCTGGGTATACTCGGCCTAAAACGAATTCTTCACAAGCGCCGTGCCGTCAGCACAGCTTCTGTGGCCGTCGGCGCTGACGGAGGGGAAACCAAAGCGGACGGGCGCGCTCTCGCGCTGGGCAGCAAGCAGTACAAGTGCCACACACATTCTGCTGCCCCGCCGGTGAAGATGATGAGTCCGTTAAACACGTCGGCTTTCGACTACCAATATTATCCATGAAACAGTTGTTTGGGGTTAGATCACGTTAATATAAATGTGTGTCGTTAAACCCGCCGCCACCCGACACAGCCAATTAGTAAGGTTTGTTACGTAAACAGAACGTGCCAATTAGTTACTCGTACTAGTAACACGTCGGTGTGTGCTGTACTAGTAACGAATTGTCATGTTCTGTTTCCGTGCCAAACCTTACAACCCTTACTAATTGGCTGTGTCGGGTGGTGACGAGTTTAACGACACATTCATATTTACGCGATCTAACCCCCCCCCCCCCCAAAAAACCTGTATTATGGAAGATGAGTCGAGAACAGTTACACAACGGCTAACATAAGGTCGGTTGTGTTTCGTCCAAATTGCCGCTGGGAATGTGGAATGATGCTTTGGGTCTTTTGCTGTGGACGTGATTGGACGCAGTAGCAAAGAACGAGGAAAGGGATCGTGTGTCCCGACAGCTGTGTGGGCCCCCCCCCGCCTCCGTTCTGGTCCATTCAGCTCACTTCACGTTTCGTGTACGCTTAATGCTTAAGATGTTAGAAAAAGTTATCGTTATTAATTGTCTTCTAAATGCTTACTTATGCCGTCTCAAAAGAGTTTTTTTTGCGATTTTTGGTGCCATATACATTTCTTTAGGCGTTTGTCACCCAGGTTCAAAGGAGATGTCATCTATAATTAATTCACTCCTGTATGTCTACCAACTATTGCAATCAGCATTTAAAAAATTACCGCTAATAATTTGTCTTTTACAATTGATCCCATTGTACCGACATTTTTAATTACTTTTTACTCTCACAAAATGTATCGTTTTTATGCCTTTTTACAGATACTGCAATGTACCTATACAAGTATCCGCAATCAGTTTGCATCATGATTCAAACAAACAACGGGAGGTGGGCAGCGGTGCTGCAGTGCTTCGCGCACTGAGCACTTCATACCCAGGCCCCTGGGCTCGATTCACGGCCACGGTCTAACATCAGTGGCCCGAACCTATCTCTGCGCCCCCCCCCCCCCCTCTACCTCTTCTTCAGCTTGCCGCACCGACCCGCGTGGTGAAGTATGGTCAATCAATTAACACCCCCCCCCCCCAATGGCTCTAACGCAGCGTATGGGATGGGCCCTTATCAAGCAGTAGACTGACGAAGGGACAGACAATTATTGCAGCGTAATAATTCGCTACGCGTTGTATTTCCAGCACGTACTGTTGTTGTTGTTATTGTGTGTAGTAGCGGCAGTGGCACCTTGGCGTGTCGGTGATTTTCCTCCCTCCCCTTGCCTGGCTATCAAAATGGAGCGGCAACTCCTGCGTCAGCAGATTTGCCTCTCCGTGCCGCAATGGAAGGCTGTTTTACGCCTCCTGTCTCCACTGGAACCCTTCCCCTAATATAATCAACAACGGCAGCCCCGGTATTCTGTTCAACAGCAAGAGCAGCAGCAGCAGCATCCTTACGCGAGCGTGCGCGCATATATACACACACAGTCACACACATACACACGTTACATCAATGAACTTGCACTCAAAAAAATATATAAATGAGTCGACTAAATTTTGAAATTCGAATACATTTCGCTTGCGGGGTCAATATCATGTGCGGGTGGTGACTGCATAACAACTGCATCCTACACACAGACACACACACACAGACACAGCGGGCATCTATCCGCATTCTACCCGAGCCGATATTTGATATGATTCTGAATGAAACTATCGCGTTATGTGTGAAAACAATACAAAACAAAAAAAACACACGATGCCCCAATTGCATTTATAATTGTGTTTAACGAACCACGAACAAATGTGTATTTTTCATCATTACCGCGAAGAATTGTAACGTGAATAGCACGCGCGCTCACAGAGCAATAGCGCAGTGCCCGAAGCACGTCAGCATCGGCAAAGAGGCTTGCAGGTATGATATCCAGTATGTTGTGTGCGAGAGAGGGAGGGAGGGCAATATCTCTCCCGTAACCATGCGAGCTCAACGCTGCCAAGCACGACAACCGCATCACACACACACACATAGACTGACACACACACACACGCGGGCATGCGAATAAAAAAAAATTACATCCATCACTCCTAATCACCACCCCACGCCCTGCACCGCCAACCAACACACACACACAGAAATGCCTTACCGGATCCGACCCTTTCTCCTGCCGATCTCGTGTTGTCGCTTCGCTGGCAGATACTTGGCGTTTCCCGAAGGCAGCCTGGCGCGGCGCTGCTCCTGACGATGTTGCTGCTGCTGCTGGTGGTGGTGGTGCTGGTGTGGGTGGGTGGGTGCCTGGAGCGCTTCGGCGAGGCTGGGATGGAGATGATCTTAATTGGCTTCCTCCGCCGCCAGTTGCCGTCTGCTCGTTCCCTTGCACCGCGCACCGCGAACAGCTTCATCGGCGGCGTCGCCCGGCCACCATCAAAGGTGGCTTCATTAACAGAATCATCTTCTTCTTCTTCTACATCACCGTCGTCGTCTTCTTCCTCCTCATCAGCAGTAGCAGCAGCAGCATCGTCAGCAACGGAGGCGGCGTCCCATCGGACTGACTGCGCGCTTGTGCGCTGGAAAGATGATAATGGTAATCATGGAGACGCCGCTATTGCTCCTGCCGCTATTGTTGGGCTGCCGAGATGATGATGATGTTGTTGCTGATGATGATATTGCTGATAGTGGTGGTGGTGGTGGTGCTGGCGGCAGCGGCGGCGGTACCGGTGCTGATGCTGCCAATGTGTTGAATCCTGCACCGAGAGTCCGCATGAGCGCAGGAGACATGACGTCATGACGCATGCATGCACGGCGCGTCACTCTCTCCGGGAGCCAGAGGGGGGGGGGGGTACATCTGAACAGGGACGTGTCTTCCCCTAGGTCGATTCGGCCTTAAATCGAGTACCTGGTGCATGGGTGGGTAAATATTAGCGCTGGGATCGAGACAAATGCGGCCGAGGGTGATGCCCAGCGACCCACCGCTTCCTGCTGGGCACGGTCTGCATAGGTGCTCGCAAATTGCTCCCTTACACCGATAGCCTGCGAAAGCCTACACGGGGAGTGTTTGTCTTTGATATTTGAGCCGGTTCCCGTGGTCTTCTAACCCTAAGGTCGACTCAGATTTAAATGAGTATCTGGTGCAGGGTGTGTGTCAACGTCGGCACCGGGATAGAGGCAAAGGCGGCCGAGGGTGATGGCCCCAACAGCCTGTCAACGATTATAATCCAGGGGGGCGCAGTGGGTGAGGGTCTTTGTCTTTTTTTTGTCTTTTGGTTTGCTGGGCTGGGGGTCTTGTGAGAGTCTGGGCAATACACCGTATGCACTTTACAACGACCCTTGGCTATAAGAACCAGGAGGTTTACGATTGTTGCAGGGCTGTATAGAGTTTTGTGAATTGCGGGGCATATGAGATACATTTCTCGCGTGTGCATGCGTGAGACGGCTGTCCGCTGGCGAGTGAGAGTGCCCAATTGCGTGTCACATTTCACTTCCCTGTCATTTGGGCTCACGATTATACAAGGTGTTTGAAAATTATGGACCCGATTTGAAATCGCTATATCTCTGCAACCACGAACCGCCCATGAATGAAACTCTTACCACTTGAAAGGGCGGGGCATAGTGTTTCAAATGATTACCGCGAGATGCCTCTCCCAGCGCACAAACAGCCCTTAGCCTCAGTCATTCGCAAGATACACTGCCTCAACGTTGGAGAGGTCACACGGGACCCCAAGACTTGGCGCTACACTCTTGGCCCCCAAGATCCCCAGACATCACACCCTGTGACTTTTTCTTGTGGGGATACGTCAAAGACCGTGTTTTTGTGCCACGATTAGCGACTAATCTGGATGACCTCAAAAACAGAATCACGGCAGTGGTGACTTCAGTGGAAGAAGACACTTTGAGAAGCGTTTGGGACGAATACAACTATCGTCTCGATGTTGTCCGTACAGCAGGTGTAGGGCACATAAAGCATTTATAAATGGTTATTAAAACTTCATAACTCATTAAACCGTTTGTAACTTTTTGTGTAATTGTAACATGTTGCCATCGTGAAATATACTGCTTTGAAATTGGGTCCATGATTTTCAAACACTCCGTAGTATACTGCATATACATTAACGAGCAAATTTACCAGGTAAGACCCACTGAGCCATATAGCTGTTTTTCAGAAGCGACCTGGCTATCGAAAAATGATAGCCCAACGAAGTGGCTTATCATGTGGAAATGTATAGCAGCCAAATACTCTAAACGCGTGTTTCTAAATGTGACACGCAAACTCCAAATATAAAGCAGGCGTCACGGTTGGGTTCGAACCCATGATCTCCTGCACACCAGGCGAGGTAGTCAACATCTCCCCATATATGTGTGTGCATCGAACAACGCGTGTTCTAAAGAATCAATGTTTCTCGACTATGCATGCAAAGTATGTGCCAATGAGAAGTGTTGACGAATGAATCGAACGACAATGTGCAAATCGGACAATAAAAACACGAGAAACGATACAAACGAGAATGTAAAATCTGGGAGTGATAATAAAATCGGAACCCCGTGACATCAGCGTGGAATCTCTGAAGTTTTGGAGTCAAGGATTATGCGCGTTTGTATCTGGCTGGGGAAATTATTGAATGTAGTTGTTCTTAACCCCCCCCCCCCCTATTCATTACAAAACCAAGTCAAACGCTGGGCTAATGCGTGCGCAGTAAACACATGTGCGTCGCGTCGCTCATATAATTAATCTTTGACAGCCCTATACAGATTTAAAGCTTTCGTGACTGCAGGGATTCATCTTCTTGGTTCTTTCGTTAAAGTCACGTAGAAGGGAAATAATAAAATAATAAAAATAAAACATTATAAAATAATTATAAAATAATAAAAATAAAACATCTTAATAATTTTATTATGTTTTATTTCTATTATTTTATTATTTCCCTTCTACGTGACTTTACCGAAAGAACAAAGAAGATGAAGCCCTATACAGATAAATGGAGTCGCGAGGCCACTGATTTGCACGATGCTGAGCTCCTTAAAACGACGTTCACTCATCTTCTCATTCCCACGACCACTGGGAAGCAAGTCTGCAACCGCGGTGAAGTCGTGGGACTCGCCCTGGAATCTCAATAAAGTAGCATTACCGGGCCTAAGCTGGCACCAATCGGCCCGTTTAAATTTCCCCCCGAATTGCGCTTTTTAAGAGATCTGTAAGCTTGTAGCTTTGACCGTCCTCCGTTCAATGCAGATTTTACAGAATTGTACTCTAATAAATTACGACCACTTCCTTCCCCGGCTGTGGAGAGACAGGAGGGGTGGGGAGGGGGATAGAGCGGGTGGGCCGAGATAACATATTTGCGCTGTAACAGGATATAATAAATCCGCGACGGACCTAATGATAAATTATGTTAATACTCTTGGGTTTTTTTCGGTAAAGTCACGTAGGTCAAAAATAATAATAAAATAATAATAATAAATGAAAATAGATCAAAATAAAGCAATTAATATTGATTTATCAATTATTGCTTTATTTTCATTTATTATCATTTTATTTAAACCTAAGAGTATGAATCCTTGCAGTCACGAAAGCTTCAAATCTAAAATCATGTTAATCCTCAGGGAAGCCAATCAGCGTCAATGGGCGGGGTAATGTGGGGGTTTTTTTCAATCCAGAAATCGTCTCTTTCGATCCATAAATCATGTGTCTTATGTGTTTCAGTATGGATCAAGTTATGACATTTTGAATATTGTCTTGGGTCTACGTGTTCGTGCATGGATCGAGCTGCGATCGAGCGTTGGATCGTAAAAAAATCGGCCGAATCCCATTCCTGTCAACCTCTTATCAGTGCCTACCTGATTACGGACCAATTCAGACATTATTGGTCACCCCGTGCCCTTGCAAGCCGCAACGTTCATCCTACAAATTCCCATCACAATAAAGAAACACAAACAAACACATAGGTTTGCCCGTATTGAAACGGCTGTACGCCATATGGACCTGAAAACTCAATTTCCCTGTACAAGAATACGGGTAAAGGGGCCATCCATTTAGTACGTACGCATGGAGTGGGGTTAACCCAAATGCGTACGCGTGCGTATGGGGGGTCTACTGACAATGTATGTACGCATAGGAAACGGGAGGGGGGGCGGTGAAGCCTCGATAATAATTTGTCTACATTGGACTTCAAATGAGCCACAGTTTATTCAGCTGTCAGACAACAAGTACTGCCGGGAGAAGTGGGACTGTGGGAGAGGTGTCACTCGTGTGCCACCGTACTCCTGACTGCAGCTATCACGCAGCTCAGCAAAATAAGTGGCCAAGGTACGCAACTTAATTATTTAATGCAGCCGGCGGTGGACTATCTGTTTGCTTAAACACGTCAATATTATTAATCCTTTATCGTTTCTGCGTGGATTAAACATCGGCCGTTCTATAGGATTCGGGGGGAGGGGGGTGTGCGTCAATTGTTGGTACGCAGGTAGGAGGTGGTTTAAAAAGTCCGCGTGCGTACAGGGAGGGGGAGAGGGGTCGAGTTTTGTCAGATTTTTGCATACCGACTCAATGGATGTCCCCAAACCGTATGGACTGACAGGTCTGGAATCCCGTTCCAGTATTCCTCATTTGGACAAAGCCACGCCCAATTACTCCATATTTGGGCCAGAGCATTTAACATAATCTATCAGTCATTCTGTTGCGGATTCATTATATCCTGTGATAGCGTGGCTCCTGATTGATTTGAGAGAAGATACAAATCACGGCTAGGGTCTGCTTTCCAATGGTCGTGGAAACGTAGCAAAGAAATTATTTACAGTGCGGAGTAGGGGCCTCCTTACTCACTGTTCCCCGATTAAAACATAGATAAAACTCCTGCAATATACAATGAAGCGTAAACATATCATGAACACACGACACATTTAAATTTATTTTAAACCATGCTTCTAAAACACATTGATGTTCCTAAACAAGCAAAACAAATCTACGGCATGTCCGGTCAAACCAACCTCTTAACAATTGAAACGTCTCAATATAGAAATACCTGAGTCATCATCGTCCGTAAATTCCTCTCGGCTTAAGTAGGTGCAAAAACTATTGAGTTGAGGGAGGGGAGGGGGAGGGCGATTGGGAGGGGAGGGGATTGGGAGGGGAGGGAGGTGAGGGGGAGGGGGGGGAGGCGAGGGGGAGGGGAGAGGGAGGAGGAGGGGAGGGAGAGGCGAGGGGGAGGGAGAGGCGAGGGGGAGGGGAGAGAGGGGGAGGGAGGGGGAGGGGAGGGTAGGGGGAGGGGAGGCAAGGGGGAGGGGGGAGGCGAGGGGGAGGGGAGAGGAAGGGGGAGGGGAGAGGGAGGGGAGGGGGGCGAGGGGGAGGGGAGAGAGGGGGGGGAGGGGAGGGGAGGGTAGGGGGAGGGGAGGCAAGGAGGAGGGGAGGGGGGAGGCGAGGGAGAGGGAGAGGGGAGAGGGAGGGGCGAGGGGGAGGGGAGAGGGAGGGGAGGCACAATTCAGGTTCCAATACAACCAAAGAATCAAGCGAATTCCATACATCAGCTTGCAAAATATTACTGTATTTTAAAAGCTGTGTTGGCTAGAGGGTGACACGAGCCATGCTTGTCATGGTTGTTAATTCTGGTAAAATCGCCCGATGATTCTGGACGTAATTACCAGCGAAACGTCGTGCTCAAATTATAAATGTTGTCAATTTACTCTTCAACACACCGGGTGAGCTGAAGTAGTAACTAATTGGCACATTTTGTTTACGTGAC